GGCAGCCACTTCTGCATTGCTCTAACCTTCTAGGTGCGATGCTGCTGAAACTTGAACCTGTGGGGCTTCTGAAACAAACGGAGGCCAATCGGCTCTACGATACCCGCGTATACGTCGATGAGGTATCACATACGTGGCACTCCTTGCCCATTCTCTTATGGTCGTGAACGCAGCTCTTGCAGGCGGCCCGGGGTGGCTGCCTTCCGCATGGCCAGCGAGTGGCAAAGCTTCTCTGCACCTCGATACTGACACGCGAGATGGCTGCATTCCGCTTTGCTTGCTTCATTTGCTGCGAACAGCTGCATCTTCCTACGATCGCTTGGTAAAGTATATGTGCGTCTTCTTCTTCTTCCTCCGCCGCAAGAGAGTCTCGCGTTGCGCATGAGCAGCTAAGCCGGCATCTTAAAGATGCATGTCGGTCCTGTTGATCGACATCCCAGGGAGTGCAAAAGATGGCTTCCTTCTTACTGGAAACAAAAACACAGTAAAATCTTTAGAGAAATATGGACAGGAAGAACGTCATCCGCCCGGCGTGATCCGCCCTATAGAGCGGATGTGTGCGAAGCCATAAGTTTTAAAAACCCCCGAAGGGTCTCTTATTGCTGAACATGCCGACCTGACTCTGTCATCCTGAAAGGGAAGATGTAATGGAAGAACTAGGAATCAATAGCAAGGCAAGCTGAACGACAGACATGCTCAATTGTCAGGCCGGTTGTCCTTCATGCAAGCTCCAAGAAAAGGGCTCAGCTGCGAACTAGGTAGCATACGTAAGCATTATGTTTGATCTGATCGATGTCGGAGGGATTGCATGGATGAGTTTCTCGGTTATCATCCGTGATGTGTCTGGGAGCTCCTTGGGAGAAGAAGGCCGTGCGGTAATGGCCTGACAGCAACGTTTGGCCGAGATGGTACTGCACCGCCACGAGTTGGTATCGAACCGACTCCGTTCTGCTGTCATTTCCCGCGTATCTGGGAATGTACACTGTGGGGCTTAAAGCTATAGGGTCTAATACCTTAGTTCCATCTCGTCCAAAGCGGTTGAGCTGCAAAGGCAAAATTGGCGGCGCCGTCACTGCGGCATGCTGAACGGCCTGATTGCGCCAATGTATGATTAAGGTCTGGAGTGTCCACTCTTTACGCCTAATACCTATTGCAGCTGGGTTCAGCGCCGTTGGCAGCACCAGTGGCCACATCTTTCCGTGATCCACCACCTGATAGGGTGTAAAATCAGGTGGGGCAGGGTCTGTGGCGAGGCGTGCTTCCCACCAGCCCGCATCTGCATTTGAGACCAAGGCTGGGCTGAGGAAGTCCAGAAACTCAGCTGCATCATGCTGAGAGTCAGGTTCCTGCCAGTCAAAGGTTATAGCTTGCCATACTCTTAGACTGGATAGTAAGACACGCTGGGGTTTGCGCGTGAGCCATTGCAGCAGGCGGTGAAGCTCGCGAAGAGGGATTGGCTGGCCTTGTGGGGTAGAGGCTAAGGCCCATAAGACTGCGAGTAGGCTTGAGTTTGCATAGCAGACATTGCTGTGGTTCATGAGCGTGAGTGTAAGCACGCTGCTGGGGCTCAAGCTTAAAAATCCTGCAGGAGGTGCTCGATCGTCTTGGCTAGGGGGCTCCGTCCGAGCTTGCCCGGTCTCATGGTCCCGGCAAGAAGATGCCAGCAGCTGCACCGGGAGAGGCGGTTCATGCAGACCCACATCTGGTGGCTCTCTTGGGTGCGGTTTTGCACCTGGAGGCTGAATGGTATCACCTCCGCGGGGGTCTTCTCGTTGCGGTTCCTTAGTGCATGAAACCTGCCGACTACTCCAGGAAAGGCGGACAGGCGGAGGGCCATCTTGATCATCTCGACGGCTGTTTTGTGATCCAGCGGCTCCGTCTGGGACGGTACATGTTTCTTGAGCGTGGAGTCCCATTGGAGGTATGGGTAGGCCTCCCCGATCACCAGCCCTTGCTCCCGGACTTTGTCCAGCTCCTGGGAGTCCGTCTCGAGTATCTCGACCCTCTCCAGAAGTGTGCTTAAAAGGCAATAAAGCAACACATTGCGCATTGGTTGGGTGAGGGAACTCGGTTCGCGCTCCTTCTGGGTGTTCCAGTCTTGGGCCGTCTTGTACAAGGCATCCGTCACGGATCTGGGGTTGCCCGTCTTGCTGGATTGGAGGAAAAAGACGAAGTCTGTGTCCAGGCCCGCTATGGCTTGCTGATCTTCTTGCCTTAGGCTTAGCCGGGCGACTGCCCTGACTAAGTCTTTGACTGCGCTGTCGGAGTTCCTGGAGCCACGCGCTCCCCCCTGCTGGCGATCTTGCCCCCAGTAGCGGTTGCCCTGGTTCCTGTTCCAGCTTTGGTACCCTTGGCGGTTCTGATCTTGCCGCCAAACTCTGCCCGGAGCTTCCGGCCCCTTGTCCCTGGCCTGCCCCTCTGCCTGTCCGGGGCTCGCAGTCGTCGGCAGAGTTTCCGTCTGAGGCACGTCTCGAGGGGGGCTCCGCTGTGTCGGTGCTGTACCTCCCTTCCCTGTCGTCGTTGCCTCCTCCTGGCGGGTCTCGCCTTTTGCTTCCCCTTTCGCCCACTTTTGCGGTGGCTCTTCCGGGGCCGACGATGTGGCCTCCGCTCTCTTCTCCCTGGAGCGGTCCACATCCATTTCGCCTTCCTCCTGGCTCGCCTGGCTTGCTACAGAGGGCGCTGCTGTCGATACCTCCTTCTTCATGTTGGAGGCAAACTGAGCCAGCTCGCTCTGGGCATTCTGCAGCTCTGCCTCCTGAGCGTCCGTCAAAGACATCTTGAAGCTTGAGCTGGAGGCGGTCCTCAAGGGTGCCAAACTGTGAGAGAAAAAGTCCGCACGTCCACAACACTGAGCACGACTTAATGTGATTCTTACGCCTGGCCTGGAACCACTTGCCGCACCACTCACAGGGGCGTTGGATGCTGGTCCGAGCTTGAACCCACGCAGCTATGTCATGTTGTGCCTTTTCTATGTTAGAATGCATCTGTATGGCATGTTTAATCACGTAGCTGTGTCCCGTGCACCATTGAAAGCACTGCGGACAATGGTTGTCGCAGCCAGCATTCCGAACGGCGGTGGCAAGGGCTGCCACTTGCTGTTGTTGTGCCAATCTTTGCAGTTCCGGTCTTTGCAGAAGTGGCAGGTCTTCATTAGGCGGTGCAGGGATACCTCCTGGCGCGGGCGCCCCTTGGAAAGAGGCATCCGGTTTTGAGTCCCGGCACTCGGAAGCAGCGGGTATCAAACTTGCAAACGCCGTCTTCAGGCCTTCACACGCTTGTTGATCCACATGTCCCATGAACTGGGGCCAGGCGTGAAAACGGCGCAAGCAGTGTCTGCACTGCGGCATGCCATTCAAGGCGTGAATCCTGAAATCATCTCTGCGCTTGTTCTTCTGCGTGGGATTTCTGGATTTTTTGGGCTGTTTGGTGGGGTGTCGCTTGCCTAAGTGTACGTTGAGTGCATGGAAGGTGGGGAATTGCTGTGGGCAATGCGGGCACTGATGCTTAAAGACAACCTGTTGCGTAACTTCAGCTAAGTGGTACTGGTAGCTGGATGGCTGTGCGAGGTTCGCAAAGTTACTGGCTAGTACATCCCACCACTGCTGAACAACCGGAGGCTGCAAATGTTGCAGGCTCGATCTGCAGCTGTCTATCCGCTTGGTTGCCTGTTGATACAGCATGACGAATGGATGTGGCAGTCCGAGTCTGTCTAAGAGGGCAGAGTTTTTCTCGTGTGTGACATGTCCCGGGCTGCGCGCTACTATGCGGAGCTGTCTGAATACTTGCGATTCAAGCTGTCGAGCTGCCAGCTGATCAAGGCCCGTGGCAACGAGACCATATCGAATTGTGGCCCACACAGTTGAGCTCCAGAGTCTGACCCTTTTTTCTAAAGGTACTTNNGGCTCTTCAAGAAAAGATGCAATCTGTGAAAAGCTACCCAAGACAAGCCTAGTCTATGCTGAACAGTCGCCTTTTCGAATGTGCCATAACCTATTTTGACCCCGAGGTATGTATGCGTGGTACGAATGGGCAGCATGATGCGTTCTTGCAAATGTTGAAGATAGAGATATCTTTGGCCTTGATGACGCCTCGTGTAATGTTTCTGTAGGTCTGCCGCATCTCTACCTCGGAGTGCAAGTAGTATGACAGTCTTATCCTTGGCGACATCCATTCCTGCTTGTTTTAGGGTGTCCAAAACTCTGGCGACCTGCACGCAGGCATTTCGAAACTCACTGGCATGCTCGAACTCCCATTGCATCTCATAATCGTCTGCGTAGCCAGTTGTAACATTCTTAGGCAGAAAGGACTGAAACTGATCCTGCAATAGAATGGTAAAAGCCAGCCACAACAGCGGAGAGAGGCCGCAACCCTGACGAATTCCTCTGCCTAGTGAAATCTTCTCTTCATGTCCATGCTTCTCCAGAATGAGCTTGGCGTTGTCATGAATGTACAGTATGAGGGAAATTAAGTCAGGTGGGGCATTGACTCGTATCAGTGCCCGCTCTAGCGTCGGTCTCGGAAGCTTGTCATATGCCCTCGATAAATCCAACGACAACATCATACCACCCGTCAATGGCACAGTGGTGTGTTTTTGCTTAAGGCCAAAAACCGATCGGTTATGTAGCTTAAGTCTGGAGCGTACTCTGTTGCAGTGGGCGCAAACACGGTCAATGGCATCCGCCGTCTGGCGAGCGGCACTGTACGCAAACTGTGGCACTTCTTGTAGGGCCAACAGCAACACTGGCTTGAGGCGCTCCGCCGCGATGCGTGCCAGGAGTTTAGACTCCGCCGGTAGTAAGCATATGGGTCTTAAGTGGGCTGGCCTATCAGGGGGTTTTCCGGGTTTAGGTATGAGTGTCATGAACGTGTCGTGCCAGCGCTCGGGGAAGCATAGGACACCTGGTTGCAGGATCTGGTTGAAGGCTTTGCATAGTAGTGGCACCACTTCTTCGCCTACCAGTTTCCACAGCACGGCCGGTACGTGTCTATGGGGAAGCGCCTTGTTGCCCGACATGTGTCGCAAGGCTGCCTGTATTTCTTGTGTTGTGATTTCTAGTGGTTGTTGTAGGGTGTGATGTCGCTGTGCAATGGAGCTGGACTGATAGAGGTCTTGAAAGAATTGGGTGAGGCTGCGGAGCTCGCCCTGTCCGTCAAGCAGATGGCCTCTGTCATCTCGGAAATGTATGGTGCGCTTGGACGTCTTGGGGCGAAGAACTTTGGTAAGTTGTTGTAGTTGACTAATGCCTTTCCGCTCCGCCTGTTCTGCCGACTGGATGAGAGAGTCCACCTGCTGAACCTTCTTGGCTCTAGCTTGCTTGCGGAAATGTCTGTCCTGCCTTTGGAACCCGACTGCATCTCTCCAGCATGCAAAAATGGAGCGTGTGCGCCGTAGCGAATTTGGGATGTGTCGCTGTATGGTGTCTGCACTTGCCTGGCTGATATACCACATGACCGGTGCGTTGTATGCGTCGGCCTTTGCAAGAGAGGATCTGTATTGGGCCTTGCACTGCCAAAACATCTTCAGGGTGGGTGGATTCGACTCCGCTGCTTCGGCAGGCTTGGGCTGAACTGCCCTCTCGTTGCTTCGCTTGTGGGCTAGTTGCCAGGCTGTGTTTAGGCACTGCTCTATGTTTTGGTGAGGATTCGGATGTTTGGCGACAACTTCGTGAAAAGTGTGCTGGAAGGCGTTCTCTAGTTGCTTGTTCTGGGCAAGGCTTGTGCGAACTAGTTTGGCAGGCGGGGCTGAGCTGGTCTTATTCCCTACTTTAAACTCCGTGTACGGAAAGCGACATTCGATCGGGAAATGTCTCATACCTGTGGGATGAACTAGCGGCGACGTCTTGAGAGCCTGTGCCCGCATAGCATGAGGCTGGCAAGGTAGCCTGGTGAGAAAGTAGTCCAGCTGCACGACTTTGTTGTTGTGCTGTGCAAAGGTGCCGGCTTGACTGCCTTGTTTGCCCCACGTGTTGATTGCCGTAAGCCCTAGGCTAGTGACTAATGTTTGCGCCGAGGCCTGATCTGGGTGGGGAGATTTGGGGTTTGCCGTCACCCCGTATCCTATGTGAGGGAGCTCAGTGCGTAAAGTTGCGTTGAGGTCGCCTAGTATTAGGATCGCATTCCGGCGCGGCACGCTCTGCACCCATTGCTGGACCCTGTCTAGCAGCTCCTGTCTTTTGAGGAGGAGTGCCTGCTGTTTTTGCTGCACACTTCCAGGCAAGGCCTTATGATTGGGATTCCATGCGTGTTGGTAGAGGCCTAAAAGGTCTACGGGCGGGTTGCTGGGCAGTCGAACGTGTAGCAAGCGTCCTGGCAGCAGTTCTGCATGCTTAATTTCCCTGGTATCACACAGGGTCTTGCGTATCAAGAAAAGTACCCCTGCCTGGCTGTTGCCAAATCCAGAATGAACACATATCCAGTTTGTGGAGTTGTACTCTGACCAGCATGGCCAGTGTGTTTCTTGTATGCATACGATATGTATCGGGTCCACTGTCTGGGCATCTAGCCAGCTTAGCAATTCTTGATAGCGCCCTGCGTGCAGACCGCCTGCATTCCATGACATGCAGCGAAGCGCTCCTTGTGTCGGCATCGGCTGTTTAGGGGGTCTTGTGGGTTGAGCTAGGCCTATTTGGCGAAGAGCGAGGCTCTCTGGCGTGTGCAGCCTACCCTTATATCTAGCTATTCCATCCCGGATGGCCCTAATCTGTGCCCGCTTAAAGGAGCGCTTGCTGGAGGCAGACGGTGTCTCTGCCAGTCGGCCAAAGGCCCTGATCACGTTTGGCGGGCCCGGACGCCCCGGCGACTCGGCGGCAGCGTACTTTGCAACTATTGGTGCAGCTGCAGCCGTACGTGTATTTAGAATGATGGCCATTATGCAGACAGATGCTAAAGGGCCGCAGGGTATATGCCACCTCTTATGTGTAGGGGTTAGTGTTCTAATGTCCGCTGTCCTTCGGGGTGTGATCTCTGCCGACGCCCCAGTCGTGCGGTGCGTGCCGGCTTTGCCTTCTGCTGGCAGGACCCGGTCTCTCTTCAGAACGCATCGCCTGCGGTAGGAGCCTGGACGAACACGTGTTACTCGCCAACACAAGGATTTGTCTGTCCCAGTTGGATTGCTCCATAGGAGTATGACGCTTCCTACCACTGTGGCACATAGCATGTATTGAGCAGAGTGGCCGGCCTCGGCGTCATCTCTGACCAGCGGGTCTGCTCTGAAAGGCAAAATGCCTGGCCTCCATGCCTCCGTTCGATCACTTGCTGTGTTTAATTGATTGCAGTATATGTAATGTAGCAGATCATAAGATTGTGTTGCAACTGAAAGCCTGAGAAAAATGTTGGTGAAACTTGAAATTGCTTTGCACTCCCTCAGGATGTCCATGCCGTCACCATAGACTCCGTATGGGGTGGGGCCAAAAAGCTTTGTCAGCTCGCTGAAGTCCCTAAGTACTATATGTGGGACTCGAGGAGGGCTTTGGCCTAAGCTTCCTCCAACCCTCGTGTCTACAAACACTGCTATGGACCAAAACATGCGCCAATAGCTGTGCATGTTTCTCCATGTCTCCCGCCTGGTCGAGCGTGTTGATCGTCGCCATAAGCAGTGAATGTCCCTGGACTTGGGACCAGGGCGGCCCATCCGTTCATCTTTGTCCAGTGTTATCGTCGTTTGCCGGTCGTGGTCCAGACGGTGGATCTCGCGAGCCACGTGGTGGAGAGGGTCGGTCCATGTTCTCATCTTCGTCTTCGGCTGTCCCAATGGCCTCTCTTGGCTCGTCTGGCTCAGCCTGGTGCCTGCTTTGGTACCATTGCTGAAAACGGAAGCGGTCCGGTGTGGACAATAGCGGCCACAGCAGTAGCATAAAGTCACGATACAGGCTGCCTCCCGCGTTGGCAATTGCCCTGTGCACGAACTCCTGCGCAGCTGTTGTTCGGAGCTGGGGCGCAAGACTGCGCTGAAGTAGGAGCTCGAATTGTTGCTCCACCATCTTGCGCCCGGGATCCTCGAGTCTCCCCACCTGCTCTGACAGAATCCAGGCCCGGTCGTTAGGCGGGATTTGGCCGTCATACAGTCGGAGCACTGTAGCGACGTCATGTCTGAGGTTATCAGACCGTGGAGGCTCCAGCTGGGGCAAGGTAAACTCCACCAACCCATCGGCGTCCCTTCCATTGCAGCGCCTTTTGAAAGCACTGAGCCTGCCAGCAACCTGTCGGACTGAGCATTCCGTGGTGGCCAGCTGCTCCGCGTAAGCCTGCTCGCACAGCGTTGCCACGAGGCGGCGTCTGTTCCAACTCTGAAGATTTCTCCAGTGGCGCTCAACTCGCTCCCGGGCCGCCCGCTCCCTTGCAGCTGCAGTTGTTGGTGACTCTGACCCGTCTTCACTGTCTGAACCTTCAGAGTATGAAGGTGGGCTGTCGCTAGATGCCAGAGACCGAACCATAGCAGCACCGCAACCATTCGACGTTGGACTTGCTTTTACTCAGCTTCGGGCCGAGACACTTCTGTGCGTCTTCATACAGACATACATACATGCATGCATACATACATACATATATTGGGGGGACGCAGAGGCCCGCTCACAGCAAGCACAAGGAAAAAGCACCTCCCCGCAGGCATCCCCCAAGCAGCCGAGCTAAGATTTTCACGGCTGCAATTCTGCAGAGTGCACTAATGTGTCTAGAAGCGCAACACAAGCTTGTGCTGGCTGCTTGATTGAAGGGCCTTGGCCCCCAACCATAGTCTCCCCTCGTCCTCGCCCCTGGGCAAGTTCTGTTAATGCCTTGATGGCAAATTCACTGGACCAAAAATGCAGATATGGCCGGTCGGCCGAGAAAAATCAGAAAAAACATGCAGATCCCAGAACAGACCAAGCCGGCGCTTCAACCAGCCGTCTTCAAGAGCGGGAGTTAAAAGTCC